GTTTCTTATATTGATTGCTTATGAGATTTTGTACATTTACTCCAGGGGGTAATTAGGACATGTTTTGATACTTTGGAAGCAATCTAAGTGTGGTAGATTGGACTTGCTTTGTGAGCTCAWTCGGAGCTTTTCGSTATTGTACGGTTGCCCGGTGAGTTATATAGTTAATTGTTACATATTGATTTGAACATATATATTTTCATATGAATGTTTTTGGTCTTGAATGGAGTCACACGATCTTGATTTGTCTTTGATTTCGTCTCTTGAGTCGATTCCATATTACTATCTCGGTACATCGGTTTGCTTTTCGGATCCGGACTTGTTTGTTTTGTTCCTTGAATTGTAAGCCATAGTATGGGTACTACTTCGTGTGGCATGCTGGAAGTTTATGGCGAAGTCAAGATCCCGGGTTGGATGGGTGAGACTTTCTGCGGTTGTGAATACTCATTGCTTAGAAAGGAGGAAGAGCAATGAGTAGGGAACCTTGGCACATACCCGATAGAGGAAGGCGGGCAGTGCGACGTTTCCCGTAATATATGATTTGGACTCGGACTTTGGCATGAGCCCAGAAGGTGAAGGACGGGGGGATGCACTGTCCTTGTTATGTATACCGATTTGATCTCTTGGTTCTTGATATTTATTGGTATTCTAACGTTGCTGAATATATTTGGTTGTTGATCCTGTCTCCTTGTTGTATTGAGCATCAATGGTATGGTATACTATGGTGATTTGAATATGGAATCCTATGATCTTAGCATCCGGTACGTAATTGTTCACTCGGTTTCTTGTAAGTCTCAGTTTGCATCTGGATGATGTCTTGAACTCTTTTAATTATAAGAGTTTATTATGTATGTTTATAAACATGTGTGATATTGATATGTAATACTTAACTATTTAACTCACTAAGCGTTGGCTTACCATTTAAGTGGCAACCTCTCTCAGGAAAGAAGACGGACAAAAAGAAAGAACCCGTTGTTTGACTTGAAGATTTATCGGGGAACTTGAGGATATCGATCTTGCTTTTGGGTAAATAGTAGCTTATTACCGTATCTCATAGTTGTARTATGTGTAGCTTATATATAGTCTTGTCCCGTATTCTTTTGCTACATAATTCAGGTTGTAAATAAAAACTCCGTTATATCCGGTTTGGAATTGTGTTTTGGGTGGTTTTATCACTAAAATAGAACGGATATTTCAAAGTTTTCTAGAAAATTAATATCACATATTTTGAGGTTAATTAATGTTATGCCCAGATTTGTGTGTTTCAAAGGGTTGGTCCATTTTCATCGCCTCTGGACCAATTCATCGCCTCTGGTCCATTTTCATCNCATCGCCTCTGGTCCATTTTCATCGCGTCTGGATCATTTCATCGCCTCTGGTCCATTTGCATCGCCTCTAGTCCATTTTCATCGTCTTTGGACCATTTCATCGCCCCTGGTCCATTTGCATCGCCTCTGGACCATTTCATCGCCTCTGGTCCATTTTCATCGCCTCTGGTCTTCTCCCAGACTTAGTCATTTCAGCAGCCTCTGGTCCATCGCCTGCCTCTGGACCAATTCATCGCCTCTGG